GCATTTTGTTCTTCACCTAACATAAAAATATAGCTTTAAATATTTAATGACTTATATTTAAATCATCTTACCTTATAAAAAACTTAGTCAAATAAAACAATTACAGAAATATTAAAATAAATCACTTCGTTAATCACAAAATTGGACGAATATTAAAAGCGAAAACTAAACACGTGCACACCCTGCTCTATGTAAACAGAGAGGTCAGGACTCGTACTGACGTCACTAACTTGCCATTCCTGGCTAACATTGTAGAATAGGGATCTGGCTATCCTTGTAGTATATAGTCCTTGGGTATATACAAAGTATTATGTATAATACAAAATATTTGAATACCAATTTCAAATAGTCGAAAGTCTTGCTGCCAAAGATCATGTAATTTATTCGAGATAGCCAATAAGTATTAAATAGTGGGATTATCGAATAATGCTAATATAATTGTTTCGCACGCGTTTCCGCTAAATATGACACAAGACTTTTTCCCATCATCTCCTTATTTTGATACTTTTCTATAGAAATATTTTTCTGTTTCGAGGTTATCTTTTAGATTCCTTCAATTCCATTTTCGATCTAATTTCCCGGATTTTTTATGTAAAAAAAGAAAAATAAAAGGACACTGCCTTTTTCCTTTCTTATTTTTCTTGGCTAAATTTGGATGAGAAAAGTTTAAATATTTAGTTCCTTCATTTTCCGTTCGGCGTCGCTGCGTTTCCTCCATGCGATGAGAAGCGGAAGTTAGTGGAGTAAATTGCGCGGGAAAAGTCTCGTTGCCGGAGAATGGAAATGTGGTTTTAATAATCTTAACGCCGAAAAAATAACATAAAACTTCCGCGAAAAGTACGGAGATTCATCGTAATTATTGCTTAGTAATTGACGGAAGAGTTAGCGGTAAGAATTTATAAAGTAAATTGCGTGTAGAAGACGTACAAGCCACTTATAGGTGGAATGTTTACGGGTACAATTAAATAAACAAACTGCAAATTTCTGGGTTACTCGTGGGCTCAATTCAATTCAAGCTCGGAATGAGACAGTTGTGACCTTACCAGAGCTGTAGAGCATACCCATAGAAGCAAAAAAGTCAAAGGAACCATACTTGTACAAGTGAACCTTCGCGAGATATAGTCCCCCAAAATTACTTGATGTGTTACATGTTAAACTGTAGCAAAACTAAGCTTTGTTAGACATGCCATTTGTTATATATATATATAATATGTCTAATGTAGTGTTACCACCCAGACAGTCCGGGAATTGACTCACGGTCCGGGTGAACTATTAATTTTCTCCGGGAATTTCAAAGAAATTGTGAAATTACAATGAAACAAAGTTCTTGCAAATATTTTTACAAATTTACACAAAACAGCAAAAGAACTCTCACTCACTTAAACTCATCTGCAATTCTGCCATGTTAGTCTGTTTATGCCGATGTGTGGCACGCAGCAACCTGTCTACCTTTTTTTTTTATGTACGATCATACACGTCTCAAATAGAGCTAAATTATCTGACACTGTAACTGATTTGCATGCACGTTATTCTTTGCATTGTAAAATGACTTTGCGCATGCGTCAGGAACTTCTGTTCGAACAAACCTGACCTCCCGTCCGGGTCAGCGATTTTGAAAAGGTGGCATCACTAGTCTAATGAGTAAATGTGAGGAAATTAAAAGTATAGGATTGTTATTTTGGCATGCCCTATCAAACTGTAGGGATGCAAAGGAACTTGGAACAGAACATATTGTCAATGATAATTCCTGGACATATAGTTCATTTTTCTCTATGAAATTGCAATGCTAGTAGGATGCAATGGTAATGCATGGCAAAGGTGAAGTCTTATCCAAATAATTCTGTTGTATCATAATTCTCTATATTTTTTTTTTATTATTTTTTATATTGAATACTGTTGCTGTTTCTATAGGGGCCTTACAGAGAGATATGTGGCACTAAGTACTGGAATGGCCTCTCACTGGATTTCTGCAGAAGAGACGGTTGCATAGACTGGTTATCGGCCCTCGGGACAAGTACTCCATGTCTGGTGGTGATTAAAGGAAACTTGGAGACTAAAAAACTGGATAATTTTTCTTAATGGTCTGTTAGATCTTTAGCTCAGTAGATGGACTCTTTCTTCCATATACAGAAAGGACCTACAGTTTGTAAAGACAGCGTTAACTGAGTGACAAAATAAGAGATGAATAATAAATTTTTTTTTATTCTTTATTAAAATTGCAGTTTTTTTCTATTGATCTGCTACCTGCTAAATTTAAATAATAATTTTTAATAAACGATTTAAAAGAACAATTTTGTAATTAACAAATATACGTGGGGAGACCAAAATAACCGGATTTTTTGTATAAAAACTTTATTTATTAACTTTTTTACAAAATTTCTTCAGTCACCTTCAAAGTACTCTCTATTAGATGCAATGCACCTGTGAAGTCTTTTTCCCCACTGTTTGAAGCATCTCTGGAACTCTTCAACTTTGATATCATCCAGTGCCCTTAGCGAAGCTGTTTATACCACCTCCACATCATCAAAACGCTTCCCTTTTAGATTTTTCTTCATTCTCAGAAACAGAAAAAAGTCTCACGGGGCTAGGTCTGGTGAATATGGAGGGTGGGGAATGACAGGCCATCCCCAAGAGGCCAAATAGTGGGTCACTTGTAAGGCCCTGTGTGCAGAGGCGTTGTTGTGATAAAAGAACCAGTCACCTGATCGCCAAAGTTCTGGGCGTTTCCTTCGTACATCCTCTCACAGACATCTTAAAACTTTTTTGGCGGATGTCCCCAACACCAGCTATGAAAATGATTTACAATATTTCTTAGTGTATCACATTTATGGTGGTAAATCCATCAGAACCCAAGTACTTCTGGCTACTTTAGTTCTCAACAGATACCCTTAAGCCATCAAAGGACTACGAACCAATCAGTTAACTTGTCCATGTGCAAAGACGGTAGAAGGAAGCTAGATTGCAACAATGCAATCTAGCTTCTATTGATAGTCATGGCAAATGCATGAATTATCAAAAACCGGTGCAACACATCTCAAAAGGAATATGGTGTCTGATGAAATGAGTGAAATGAGTTCAATGCAAGGAATCCACTATTTGACCTCATGAGTACTTCGTAGTAAGCAGGTGTTCATGCATTATTGTGTTTTCCTTTTAAGTTTTTTTAATAAGATCCTTTGCAGTGTTCATATATTGCAGAAGTAGAATAGTTGTGCCAGTCTTAAGCTGAATGTGTGGAGCTGCTGTCACACACACACAGATTTTGTTGAAACTTTATGTTTAGCTGTAATTTTTCTTAGTATTACATTTATAAAATCAAATTTTAATAAATTAATTTTATTTTTCTCTATCAAAAACTTTTATCTACCAGACAATTAGACTGAATCCGCATATGTAGAAATTGCATACATTGACTCCTATAACATGTCTGTTTTCTTCTTTGAATTGTAAAATTTATATTTAAACTTCATTTATTATCCATAAATATCCATAATTAAGCATAATAATCCATAAATATCCATAATTAAGCATAATAAAACAATAAAATGTCAACATTTTTATTATTAGAAATATGGAAGCCTTTCTTAAGAAGCAGAAATCTAAACCCAGCTCGTCCAAAGACGTTCCTTCTCAACCTATTGTAAGAAAATCTGTATTGAAGCCGTGGGTAGAAAAATAGTAAGTAATACATAATTTAATTACTATGTCAATCATACTGTTAATTTTACATCAATCATAAATACTAAACCAAAATAAATCATTTACTACAGTAATTTTAATATTTGCTAATGATTTGTTTAAGTTTAAATTACCAGTCAAAACATTGATAATGGTGTGGTTTCTCTTGTCAGCTGTCTCATCTGACATTAGTAAAATATATTTATTACTGAGATATTTTTTCAATCTCATCGAATTTAATTTCATACAAATAACTAAAATACTTCATCTTGCATAACATTGTAGAAATTGGTGGTGTTTTGTGCATTCGCTTCTTGTGAGATTCAATCTATTTGGAATGATCTGTCTTCTTTAGTGCCTTGTGTAATATGACAGATATGCCCGGTGTCTTTAAAGAATTTGTTGCCATCAGACGAGCCCACTTTGGGTCTTGATTGTTTTGCTGTGGTAGAGTCATGCTTTTCCTTATATTCTCAGTGGTTATTTTGTCTTCGTGTATTGAAGTTGTGTTTTCACTGTGACTGTAACATTGTCTCTGTAAACATTGCACCACAGTGTATTTTGATAGAACTTAAATTCACCAGGATATAGACTTAAGTAGCTTTGAAGGATTTTACTTTTTCAACCTTGTTTACTGGAAAATAGAGAGGTTGCAGCCAACATTTTCATCATGAAAACATGAACTTCAGATATTCAGCACCGCCATTTTGTAAGCCTAGACATTTGACAATATTGTTTGGAATGTCAGTGAAATCATGCTCAACATTCCAAACGCCATTGTCAAATGTCTAGGCTTACAGGATGGCGGTGCTGAACATCTGACGTTCATGTTTTTAAGTTGAAAATGTCAGCTGCAACCTCTCTTTTATATTCTTCTGAGGCAGAGTTGTAGACTGAAATTATCAAATGACAATAGATCAGAGCCTAAAAACTGTTAAATTGTTTGGAAAAAGTGGAATTTTTTCTTTGTTTATTGTCTTAAATGTTACTTTTTCACTAAATTAAGCAAAAAGCAAACTATAAATACTAAATAGAAAATTTTACCGTTGACACCAAGAGGGCCTTTTTATTAATCCCATCATGGATTTGGCCAGGCCCATGACAGAGTGTAGGGTGGTGAGGGATGGATTGGACTTGACATATCTGGGACAGACCAACCCATAAAGTTCCCAAAGCTCAGATTCAATCTCGGGTTTCCCAGAGTGGTAGGCCAACATATTAACTGCTCAGCCATCTCGTACCCATATAAGGTTTAAGTATACTCTTATATAATGTTCTTAATGACAAATTTTTCAGAATATATCCTAATTATAAAGTGGCAACAATTTTATACTTATGTTAATACAATTTATATTTATTGTAAGTAATACTCGTTTTCTCTGCTTCAAAATGTTAATATTTGATATTCTTTACACATGCCTATATTTCAATTCTCTCTCTATTTTTGTCATCGGCAGAAGTGCATTAAATTTCAAATTTATATGTGATGCATATTGCTTTGATTGTCTCAATTCAAGGGTGATCCAAGCAATCGGGAAATGTGAGAAAAGTTACTTCTGATAAATCTAGAATGTGCTAAGTGTAAAATTTTTCCATAGGCTTGATAGTTTTAGTAGGAATTTCGGAAATGCGTGATGGTTGCTGTGGCAACTTGGAAGCCGAGACAAAGTTGTGCCCATTTGATTTGCAAATTTTTTTGGTTTTTTTCTTGATTTTAATACATTTGACTCAACTTCCTATGCAAATTTTGAACTAATGACGAACAATTTCAACTTATTCCTGAAGATTATTTTAAAAATCACTAAAATGGCTTAATAAATTGTTTTAAATTTCTTAGCTTTTACTAAAATTACATCTAAAATGTTATAAAATGTATTATTGTAAATAGTTCTTTGTGAAAGATAGAAAGTTTATGGTAATGATGTGTTTAACTACAATTATTGATTATTTAGTCGCCCCAGGACAGTGGATGAAGTTGCATATCAAGATGAAGTTGTGGCCGTACTCAAAAAGATTCTAACAGGAGCAGATGTGAGTTTTAAAAAGTGTATTTTTTATTTTGTATCTTAAAATTAATAAAATTTCTGTTATAGTTATATACAGATTAAAGATCTGAAAACACACTTGATGCCAAACTGCATAAAATGAGTCCAAATACACTGTCTTTTGGCATTATAAACACTAAATATAAAAACATATTACCACTGGGATATTTAAGTTTCTTTACTAAATGTTTGTTGGCTCTATTTATGAGCCCTTGTCAGGTAAACACAATTTACTTGACGAGGGTGTAAACAGAGTTTCAAACAGTAACATAATATATAAAAATCAAAATTAGAAATTTGCAAATAGTTCTGAAACAGTTTGATAGCTGCTACCAGCATGCATCTCCACTAAAAGATTTGCATGTTTGACAATGGAATGTTTGTTTTTGTCGAGTGAATGCCAGTCTATGCTATGTTTGTGAACTGTTCACATGCTATAGTAGAAAGGTTCTTAAACTTCATCTGTATACAATTTAATAAAAATATTTGTAGAATGCTTTTAGTGAAACTTGACATGACATCATGTTGTCTAGCAATTTGTAAAATGCATTAAATACAAAATTAGTATTCAAATAAACGTTAGCAGTTTTTTGTAAATGTTACTGCCACATCTTTTGCTATTTGTATTTAATTTACGTATGATAGGAACATTTATAGGATGGCACGCGTTGACAATGTGTATCTTGAATATTTTCAACATAATACAGCCATTGTATAATATTTCTTTATATGGTGTTACTTGAAAACTACACACACTTGTGTAATAATATTTTATATTTCTTGAAGCTGTACATTTTTTAAAATTTATTTCACTTTTCTCTTTCTTTAGTTACCAAATTTATTATTTTATGGCCCACCAGGTACAGGAAAAACATCAACGATTTTAGCATTAGCTCATGAAATGTTTGGGTAAGTAACATATTTCTTTTTTGTATTATCTGGCAAAATTATATCCTATTCTTGAAAAATGAAATTTATAAGTTTATAAAATTATTAAATTTTTCAGTTATGATAGAGAAGAAATTTAAAAGAAAGAAAAATACTGAAACAAATACTTTTTCCTAATGTTCATTTACCTCATACAAAACCATAGGGTATTTCAAAATGAATGTATCATTTTAAATTACTGTAATTATGTTAATTATTATCTGAGAAGTATGCGCTGTACATCAATTGATAGAGTAACCATACAAATTTCATCTTCCATTTGCATTCAGATATCTTGTCTCCTACTGTCTCTAGGATGCGCCATAAACAAAACTGGCAAATACACAGCAAAGAAGTGTATTCTGCAGTTTGCAAAGTTGGAATCACTCTCATTGTGCAACAGGAATAATCTGGAGGAGCCATAGAATTGTGTCCACTGAGGGCAGAGTGACTAAAAATATACTATAGCAACTATAGGAAGAATATGAATATGTGATATGCATACTGTGTGAACAATGTGCACTTTGAGAAATTGTATTGGGCAAATGTTATGCTTGAACAGTTTTCCGGTGTTTTAATGTATGTTATGACATTCTTAGATAATAATGAACATGATTACAATAATATAAAATGGTAGCTTTTTTTTTAAGACCCTGTATTTTAATCATTTCCAACCTATGGACTCCAAATAGGTCTTTTCATCTCCATTATTGTTAGGCTTATAATAAAGTGGTCAAGTAGTGAAAAACAATCTAACATTTAAGTCCAATTGCTTGTGAAGACTTGAAATTCAATTCATACGAAGTCAAATGTAAGAATTCAACTTGGGTTTGAATGTGAATCCTTGTTGCAAGCCAATATCCTGCTATTCTTAGATCTTCTAACCGTCAATACAAATCATGTTTTGGTCTTTTTTTATGAACTGCTGCATAAGAATCTTGTAAGAATTGCAAAATTTTTAAACTATTTTTCAATTATAAGTTGCAAAATAGTTGAAATAAATGAAAATGTTGCAAATGTTTTTATTCCGATGTAAACATGAAAATATTCGGGATCGCCCACGCAGGTCAATGAGGTCAACACTAATATTTTCGGGAAGAACGTAGGACAGGTTAATTAATTAAAAGGGGTGTACCAGCAGTCTATGTCATTCTGTATATGTTATTGTTAGATTGTTATTTTAATTGAAGAACAAAATACATCTAGAGTATTTTAAAATAAATTTTATACAATATCTAACACACACAAGAAATCAGTATATCTGTGTTCATAAAATAATAAATTATTTATATATTTTTTTTACAGTGATATGTATCGCGACAGAATCCTGGAATTAAATGCTTCCGATGAACGTGGAATCCAAGTAATTAGAGATAAAGTTAAAAGTTTTTCGCAGAGAACAGCCAGTGGCGTTCGACCGGAGTGAGTAATTATTTACGAAATTAGTTTTTAGACGTATAATAAGCTGCATATAAATATAGTTAAAATAAGTTTAAATTAATTTTAAAGTGTTTTGCTAAACTTAAATACCTCAAATGATAAAAATTATAGACGGTGTTTGAGAAAGATCTACATTATTATTAAATTTCCTTAAACTAATTTGTCAAAATGCAATGTGTGATTAAAAAAATTAATTCAAGATGTTTTTTTCTTATTACAAAAATTAATACAAAAGCTAAAGTTGTTTTGCATGCATTTGATAAACCTCAACTTGTGCTCCTTTAGTTACAAGAAGAATGTGTGATCAATAACTGATTTCTACCTGGTATTGTATAGCATTTCCTATGCAACATTGGAGATTGTAATGGTTATCCTGTCTTTCAAAACAATAACATTAGGAACTTGTGTTTGATACACAATGTCTTTCGCATATTCCCACAAAAGAAATTCAGTGGGGTTGTTGGGTGATTGAGGAACCCAGTGTATTTGTCTCCCATAGCCAATCCATCACCCAGGGGAAACAATATGTCAAGCAAATCATATAGGCATTACAAAACTTTTTGAGTTAATCTTTCTTTCACTACAAACTGCACTTCAATAGACCACTTTTTTTTTTTTTATGAAATTTTATAATGTAAATTTTTCTTGGACGTATATGTGTTGAGATCTATACATGAATTTCAGAGTTTGGTGATGACAGTATTGTCTTACATTTAATAGTTCAGATACTGAAGGTTTCTCCATTAAATATTTAGAGGAAGTTCCATTCATGAATCTCTTGACTCAGTTTTTCTGAATAATAATCTGAATCTGGAGAAATTATATTGTAGTAGAGGGCTTTGACACCTCTCACTGACTCCATGGACTTTGTTCCTTAATCCCAATATAGACTATTTGTAACAAAAATTTTGTGACAATTCATTGATTCCTGGTGCTACCATTTCTATTTTTATTTCCTTTTTTGTGTATAGTGTATCATATGCATTATATACATAGATAAAAGGGAAGCAGGATGTTTATAGATAAGCTATGTATGCAGAGTTGTCTATTAATATAGATGAGAGAGGTCAAATTTTGATTTTCTACCAGAAGGGTACCACGCGTAACCCCTACTCCATTGCGCAATGATTTTGAAATGATTCGTGGCCCTCTACAAGTGACATGGGATTTTGTCTCCAGCAGATACTAGCTGTTTTGTGTGATTCAGGCTGCAGCTTGGCACATGCTCACCAATTCAGGAAGGCCATGCAACATATGGGTATATATACTGCTTGCTCCATGGCTTTGTTCACTTATTTAGAAATCTTGTGACAATTTATCAGTTTCAGTGCCACCATTTCTTTCTTATTTTGTGATCGAAAAAAGTGTCGCAATAATTTTAAACCAATATTTTATATACATTTAGTGGATATCTCGTCTTCTTTCCTGTTCTGTGACGTAAATGTAGAAAAAAATCAAACACATATATGTTTGCATATTATATTCTATAGTACATGTTCATTTATTTCTCTTTTATCCAAGTTTATCTTTAAGATTTCTGGTATTCATCAACAGGATGTTATCAGCTGAAACACATCTAGTTGATTGAAAGATTTCATTTTTATTTGATTTGATGCTATTTTATAATTAATTATAATTTTCTTTGGAAGTTGGCATTGCTAATTTTCAAGGGAACCATTTATTCAAACTCAGTTTCATCCAATAAAAGTAAAGTTCTTAAATTCCACTTTAATCTCGTCAAATGAATTGACAATTCAGATTTACTAAATGCTTTTTATTATTTTCTCGTAAAAAATATATAATATAACGATCAAAAATTATTGTGACATCGTTACAATGCCGGGCTACAACTTTTAATCATATTTTTAATCTATTTGATTTAAAATATATGCTCTCGANACAATTCAGATTTACTAAATGCTTTTTATTATTGTTCTCAATATATTAAATTAATAAATATTATTTTTTTAACAGTGGTAAACCTTGCCCAGCATTTAAAATTATAATTCTTGACGAAGCAGATGCCATGACCACCAGTGCACAGGTTAATTTAATTTTATGCTACATATTAATTTGTATTACATTCTGAAATCTTTGTGTACTTTAAGAAAAATATTGGTATGTATCATTATCAAAATATATCTTTGAGTTATTTATATTAGTAAGGATAAGGATACATTTTGACAAATTTCTAATTCTTAAGTTATTTAAAAATACAGTGTGTCTCACTCAGGACTGACTCTTTATGTTTACCTGTTCCACAGTTATTTACAATTTTAAAGTCAAGCTATAAAAAGCTGAATATATCTTATTTAATGTCAAACAAATTCACATTACAAAAGGTGTTGATGTTGAAAGTGCCTATCTAACAGGCACAGTCGTCTGGACTCCTTTTACATGCATCTAACACCTAAAAGGGTTAGTTTCACATAAGTCCTATCAGGAGACACCCCTTTAACAGATTACCCATGCATTGTATTGTCATATTCCATCGATTCAATCCGAAAATCTTAAAGCATATTTCATTTGAATTGATTTGATAAAGTTTGTTATTTTTTACATATTTCCTGACAACATACTGTAAATTGCGATATGCAAATCCACTTTTTAAGACCAAAAAATCTGATATACAAGTGATAGAAATAACATATACTGCATCCATATTTTAGTTCTAGTTTACTATACACTTGTAATAAGTCTTATAAGCCTAAATTAGAATTTTGAACTAAAAATTCCAGTCAACTTATACATTAGTCTGTGCTATCCGTGTGGTAGATGACACAGACATGAGAACCTGAATATCTTGGAGAAATTGTATAAAGCAGCATTTGCAAAAATATATTCTATGAAGTGTAATAACAAACTGATCAGGATTGAAGATCAGAATGCATTTATGAGAAAAATAAAGAGAACAATGTAAAGTAATGGTTTTAAAGGCTTAAAATCGGTTTTAATAAAAAACAAAAGAATAACTATTTAAGAAATTTATATATTTTTAATATAATTCTAATAAAATTACATGCTGCATCCAATGCATTAAGTGTGTTGCATTCATGATACCGCATTGAATTCAAACAAAACTTATGAGACAGTGTTGCTAACCTTAAAACTGATTCACTGTATTTTTTGTTATCTATAAATAACTTAAGAGACTGAATGGAAAAATATTCTTTATTCCATATTAAATGTTACATCTGCCAAAAGAATTATAAAATGCAACAATTGAATATTGTGTTTAATTAATATTTCACTTTATTTCATTTTTAATTGATTGAAATAAGATTTTTTTAAATAAATTTTAGGCAGCATTAAGAAGAACCATGGAAAAAGAATCAAAGTCAACTCGTTTCTGTCTGTTGTGTAATTATATTAGCAGGTAAACACAGTTTATTTCTTTTTACATATCTCCGTATTTTCAGTTTTTCATTCTAAACTCTTTCCCGTGAGCATGGAGATCCTTTTCTTTTATACTCATTGTGGACTTGGCTGAATCCATGGCAGAGACAAGCCAGACGATGAGGCACAGGGCCCGACATATTTGTTGGAAAATCCTTTTGTAATTTTAATTAAAATTAATAAATTGATGCAAACAAAACAACTAAAAAAATTATTTAAATAACATTTTTAAAAATTATTCTGTTACTCAATGCTCTTTAGTCTTTAATATTTGCATAAGTAAATTTTAAAAATGCTGCGATGATTTAAATTTGTATGTTAGCCAAATAATTCAACATCTACAAGTCAGATTTTTGATAATTTAGGGTACAGTTGTAGAATTAAACATGTTAAACAAATTACTAACAAAATGGTCATGAAGTATTATTTTACTTGATGCTCATGTTTTTCGTCTACAGTGTTTTAAACAAAATTTATGAGGGAGAGTTAGGAAATGTCATTATCATTATTGATATTGACTTTGCTCAGTTGTATAAATTGAATTAAAAGACAATATGACAAATAATTCCTCACACGAAGAAATCTGAGAGCATTTCAGATAGAATTACACCAGCAACATTTGCAACTTGCTTTTTCATTTCAATCGGACAGTTTCTTGCTATTTGCAGAGATTAATAATCAGTAGAGATAATTGCTACTGAAAATGCCATTTAAAATAACATGTGTACAGCTTCGACTTAATAGAAACAACCATTTCAACCAATCAGTTGACAAATGTTGACAAGTATGAGAGTAACGATGACATCCTTATCATTTAACTCATTTGATTTTACAAACATACTTCAAGTTAAATATTTGGATTAAAAGTGGTGATTTAATTGGCTACATTTATTAAAAAATCAAACTATGTAATTTGACTTAATTAGTTTAATTAAAGCCCAAAAATATCTCACCTCATATATGTTTGGTTGTTTTGCTATCTAGTAAAAATTTACATGTTTCAGAACCCCACCATACAAGAACATTAAACATCAATAGGCCACTTGTTGCCATAAAAATTACTGCACCATAGAGGAGTTGTCAGAATTGAACAAAACTATATGTGTTTAATACTTAATTTATCTACAAGGACCTAATTTTATTACTAGGACTTATTATACTGGTGACTTTGTTCTGCAATTTAAGAAGACATATATGAGAAAAAACAGTCTTTATTTTTCACCTGAATACACGTTACATGATATCATCGTGTTTCGGACCTGTTGGTCCCTCATCAGCAGGTTTACGACCAACAATTTCTAAAACAAATATAAAATTACTACAAAATTTATAAAATTTCCGACAATAAAATAATAAAAGACAAAATAAAACTTATAGTTTTTTGATTTTTAAATACATCAACATTCAAAAGCATAAGTAGCACAAATCCAATCATACCTCTAATATTCCTGTATACAATAACAATAGCTATAAGTTACATTCATAATAGATGGTTTAAAACATTTTTAAAACTTACATCATCGTTCTTCTATCATTACTTGGACATTATCTTATCACGAGATTATTTGTCCTTTTATACTAACACCCCTCATTACCTCTGTCAATGATTCTGTTCCACAATTGGTGTATTTCCCTTCCTAAATTGTTGTTCATTCTATTCATTTGTTTTGCTATGTGGATATGTTAATATAATTAAATCATAAAATTATTTCTTTCTTTTTTCTTTATTTTTATAGTGTTCAAATCTGTTTTGCATCCATTTGTATTACAATGTTCTGCTACTGCTGAATTTGTGTAATTACTTTTGATGGCACAAATATGTTCTTTTATATGTATTTTAAATTTTCTTTTTGTTTCTCCAATATAAGTTTTCTTTTGTTCACAACTGCAATCAAATATACTACACCTTTTTATTCTGTTATCTCATATTTTTTATCATTTCTATAATAAAGATATTTTTTAGTTGAATTTATTTTTTTGGGTATTAAATTTATTTTACTTTCTATTACTTTTTAATTCTCTCAAGTAATTTTGGTATATACATTAATTTTACAAATTGTTTTCTCTATCAAATTGTTTCAGCTGTTCATCATTTTCTAATTTTTGTATCCATTTTTGTAATAATATTTTTATAATTGATTACTTTAGGAATCTGCATAGGTTTTACATATTTTTTATATATTAATTTATCTTCTTTTCTTTCTATTGTTATATCTAAATAATACTATTCTGTCTTTCTGTTTCAACCTCAAATTTGATATTTTCTTTTATGTGGTTAGCTTGTTCTAATATTAAATTCTCATTTGTTTTTCTTTGGTCAAATATTATAAAACAGTCATCACAGTTACACCATACCTGGTGTAAAATTCAATACCTTGTATATTACTAATTTGTTCATCTATCTGTATCATGAATATTTCTGCCAGCTTTGGACCTATGCAAGTTTCCATAGGTATTCCATCTGTTTGGGTGTAGAATTTATCATCAAACTGGAAATAATTGTTTTCAATAATTAATAAGCATAATTTAATTAACCATTCTGATGCATCTATTTTTGATAACTTATTATACTTATTATACTGGTGACTTTGTTCTGCAAAGTTACCAGTATAATAAGTTGTAGTAGTAAAATTAGGTCCTTATAGACAAATTAAGTACTAAACATAAGATAAGGACAACAGAATATAATTTGAAACTATACATGTATGACATGTATGGTTCGGAAACAAAGTTTTAAATCATGAATGTATTCCAGAGTGCAAAATATGCTCTGGAAGATGCATCTTGGAATGTAACATTATGCTATAACCTTTTTTTTTCACATTTAATGAATTCATTAGAGGTAGTCAGAGTTGCCTTCCAATATACATAATCAAGTTATAATGATTTATTTTTACATTTAAATGATTATGCTAATAGTAATGACCATTCACATCCAAACTTTGATATAAATCCAAAGCTATTTTAAAATTTTACCAATTAATTACTTTAAATTATAAATAAAAACCAACTTTCCAATTACTAAATGAGTTTTCTGTACCAATATATTTTTAATGTGATTTAGCATACTGTTATATAATTCAGATTTCATTCAGAGCATCCCTAATTTAATTTTAATGTTAATTATAAATAATATAATTATGCTGTATTATATCAATATTTGGTTTGGTCAAAAAGAAACTGGAATTTTGTTAAAAATAAAGTATTCATGCTTGAAAAACTGAATTTGGCACGTATGTAGGAGCATTGGCTATTAATATTTTGCATATGTTGGCAGCACTTCTGCTACGTGGCAGCGCAGGCATGCTATTGTAGAAAATGGTGCCTAGTGTGAGGCAGGATGCTTTTTGGTCATTGAATATATGGCATTAGAGAAAGTCAAATCTAGTGAAGTTCATTGTCGATTGGTAGCTTTTTTTGACAAGAATGTGTTGTCAAAGACACAAGTCTTCAAATGAGCCAAGAGGTTTCAAACAGGATGACAATCGGTACCGGACAACTCGGTGTTGGAAGACTAAAGCCAACCATCGTTAACACTAACATTTCTGCTGCAAATACCTTGATGTAGAGTAGCCAGTCCATCGGTGTCAACAAACTTGTCGACAGTTTACAAATTTGCCATGGCTCTGCATATTCAATAATGAAATTCAATAATGCTTAACTATAGAAAAATGCATGTAAACAAGTACCTAAACTTTTTGCTGAGCACCAAAAAGGAGAGTGAATGGTAATGTCCCTCCAACATCTGTAGCATTATTTTATCATAGAGAGGCCTCCTTGGACCTAATTGTGACTGTGGGTGAAACTGTGTGTGTCCCATTCTAAGCAGTGAACCAGAGTGGAAACATACTGGAACCCCAGGAAGCAAGAGGCAGAGTGACTACTTTTCAGCCAAAGCCCATGATGATGATGATGATGATGATGATTTTTGTCCATCAAAGTCCACTTCTTTGCAAAGCAATCTCATCTTTCTCCATGTTACAAGATCTGGAAAAACCAACTGTACAAGGCCAAAATGCCAGGACTCCTAAATGAAGGCATAATTTTAAGACAACTCTAGACCTCATATGACCAAACACACCTTAATGATTATGAGTATGAAAGTACCTTGATGATTATGAGACAGAATGTCCTCGAACATCCACCAGGCAACTCTAATTTGTCACCCTGCGACCACCATATCTTTGTGGGAACCTTTAAATCAGACGACGACACACAAGACAGAGTCATGGAGTGGATTTGCAAACAGTTAAGCCATTTTTACAAGGAAATAAAAAATTTTGTTCAGTGGTAGGATACTTGCTTTAAATACTGTAGAGTGGAATATTTTTAAAAATATTAAATGATATGCTTAAAAAAAGTAATTCTGGTTTCATTTTGACTGAACAAAGTATTGCATTATATTGTATAATTGTACAGTACATAGCAATAATACGATTTGATTTTTTGAATGAATTTGCATGTAATTTTTTTTTAATCAGGATAATTGAACCTTTGACTTCAAGATGTTCAAAATTCCGTTTCAAGCCGCTGCATAAAGATATATTAATAAGCCAGTTAAGGAAGATATGTGCAAGCGAAGATGTTAAAATGTCAGATAAAGTAAAATACTTTTTAATTTGTTAGTTTTATAACGATTTTTTGTTCTTATTCACTATATATTTTTTTCAATTATATTGAAATTGTGCATGGATACAAGCTGCTTGATGACAGATACAAATGATGGAGTCCCTCCCATAAAACTATAATGGAGATGAAAAATTCATAGCTGCCCGTATCTTTTCAATGTTTAGATACACATTTGTTTAGATCTAGACCAGGTGTCGGCAACCTTTTGGCAGTGTTGTGCCAAACCTAATTTATACTAGGTGCTGACATGATTCTACCAATTTTGTTATATATACAGTATTGTGACTCTCCAGTCACAATACTGTATATATACTCTTTGGTGCCTTGTCAAGACTGACACCATCATGTCTTGGTTGACACAGAAGCCATGACAGCAAGTTTAGTTTGTGTTTTAAAGTAGGTCACATGAGCAGCCGCGTGAGTAAGCGATTGGATTCTGGGTGGAGACAAAAAGACAACCCAACAGAAGTAAAGTACTCAGACACTAAAGTTAACAACTAAATAACCGTTTAATTTCAATGAAAAGAAGTACATGATACAATATATCAACTTAACCTATCTATCCAGCGGTCACAAAAGAGAGAGTTCACATGAGATTCATGCAAGGATAAATACCTTGTAGAGGATGGAGATCTGATGCATGCTGGTTGGGTCGAAAGGAAGAAAGTTCTAGATGACAGTTCTTATTCTGGGTTTACAATTGATAATATGGCCATAGGTGAGAAGGATGATGTACCTGTAGAGATAATTAGAACAATATACCTGAACGTATAATAAAATGATGTATCCGAACTTTGAGGTACAGGAAAAACGAGTGACCCAGTTGAGGGACTGGCGATGACTACTTGACTGCCTGTTTGGTATTATATTAAAATGATGAAATCAGGACTGCAGATCAGAAGGTCACATGAAAGCATCTTTATCAACACTGGGAACTTAAAAGAGGATATATTCCCAGATGTGAAAGTTGACAGATACTTGACAAAGTTGATGTTATGACGTTAAATTGTATATATTGAGGTCCAGATTCCCACAGTATTATCAAAATTGGTCCAGTTATAATGAACATGAAAAATATATAATTTTGAAGTTAAGTTAATTAAACTATGTTCTTACATATGAAGTGCATGCATAACACACAGATGGCAATACGGAGCGTAAACACATGCACTGTAATATAAATATAGAAGCAAGAGATTTGTTTTTAATGTAGCATGTCCTACACTGAACTATGGCTTCCATTTAAATGTGTAATTAATAATTAAAGTATAATTTGTACTACATTTCTATTCAGTCAGAGTGCCACTGAAAATCATCCTGCGTGCCACAGATTGCTGACCCTAATCTAGACTGTACCATATAGATCTACGTACATACACTACAGGCTTACTACAATGGATCATTGGGTTTTGAAGTCCCATAATTTCCAAAATATCATGCTGGGTTGTCCATGTCAGACATGAAATGAAAGAGAAACACTCCAAATTTGAAGCACGAATGTGAAAATGTCTCCCACACCATACTGGATCAGACATTGATAACTTCATGGCATGTAGATGTTCTCCCAAATCTCCAGACCTCACACAGTGTAATTTTTTTGAGGTATGCAAAGGACACCATTTGTGCCATCATCACCCACATCTTTGGCAGATCTCCAGAACCACATTACTGCTGTAATGATGACCAAGGGCAAACTGGACTACCGTTGGATGTGTGTCGTGTTACCAAAGGAACACACAAGAACATCTGTTAAGCCTATAACATCACAAACTTAGAGTTTCTACTTTTTTTTATGTATCATTTGTTTGTATTGTCAGAAATAGTTGCTTGAAATCCAATGATTTATTTAATAACCTTGTAGGATGTCTGCTTGGAATGTATATCTGTCATCAAGAGGCATGAATCTGTATGTATATATATATAAGAAATGAGCATTTGACAAACAAATATTTGTCTATAAATAGCCATTACTAAATTTTCTTGACATAATTCTACATTTAAATTTTACTTACTGCAGTTTAGAACTAGAGGTAGGTGACATCATCTGATAAATTGACAAATGTTTGTATAAAACAGAATGTAGAGCAGGTGTGGCCAAACTTTTATCCCTTAGGGGCTACTTTTTTGGTAAAATATAGTTTGTGGGCGACTATGAATATGGGCAAACAATTTTAGGATTTTTATATGCGCATGCGTTAACATTCATTTGCATTGTTCATCGGGATAAATACAAACAGTATGGGTATGTTGCACAGACAGTCTATTATTGTAAGAATTATCGAATTAAGATTTTTAAACATTAATTTAAATGAAAGCAAATTGTTCAACTTTAGCTTCGCAGGCTACTTTCAAAACCTTTGCAGTCGACCGCGGCCTGTGTTGGCCATCCCTAATGTAGAGTATACAAGGAAATACAGACATTGTTTTGTTTTCATATAATAAGCAAAACTGCTTAATTTGCATTTCTCATAATCGTATTTAGGTTATGGAAGAACTCATTAAAATTTCCGAAGGTGATTTAAGAAAAGCCATTACCCTACTGCAGAGTGCTCACAGGTTAAAAGGACAGAATGACATCACATTGGAAGATATTGGAGAAATTGCAGGGGTAAATGTATTTTCGTAATTGTCATGTAGTTAATTTTGTGATTAATGTATTAAATAAACATTGCCTTGTTATAAATCTTAGACCGTCCCGACCAAGTTACTCGACGGTCTATACGACGCATGTTTGACGGATTCGTATGAAAAACTGGAATCATATATTATGGTTTGTTATACATTATTTTGTTAAATAATGCATAATTACAGCTCATTACAGACAGGAATATTTTTATCTTTTGCAGGATATAATTTATGAAGGATATTCAGTCATTCAGTTAATCGGTCAACTACACGACTACATTCTCTTTCATAAAGACTTAAATGGAAATCAAAAATCCGAGATCATCGAAAAACTCGCAGTGAGTTAAAACCATTTTTTTTTTTTTTGTAAAAGCTTTTGTTATAAAAAAATTATTTATCAATAATACAACAAATTTTAAAGATTTCAGAACATTGTCTTCTGGAAGGTGCAGACGAATTTCTTCAATTGATGGACGTGTGTACAGTCGTAATGCAACAATTATGCCATCCGAGTTAAACCGTAAGATATTACTGTATTTGTATATTAAGATATGGCATTTATTTTGTATGCGAAATTTATAACAGAATGATTAATAAAGATTTACAATTTTTTAATTGCTTTGCTTTTCTTCTGAACCATTGTGCAAGGTTATGGGGCACAATTATCTGTCCTTTTCTTTCACCATTACCTTGCCATCAGCTAATAGTGGAAGAAACAGAAAACTTTCAGCAAAGTATGATGATTTCGTTATGTATTAAAACTCGCGACAGTGTGACGAGAGTGAATTCTGTGAACAGGGAGGAAGATGTTCAGAATATTACTACACATAAATCAGCTAAAATTGATTATAACCTAATTGTTATTTTATTGCACTTAATAATAGAAAAATTTGTTTTGTTTAAACTTCAAGTTCTGATATCAGAAATACAGACTTTCCATTTGTCATGTTTTCCACATAGCATTTAATCATTTTTAATTTATATCATTAAATTATTATATGTAAAGTTTAAATATATGTAGATATGGCTGAGTGTTAAGAAGCATATGCAGAACACAGTTTAAGAAAGAATATGAGGAACTTCTTATGATATATAATGATGTATATTTTAATACAATACACAAAAAGAACTTTACAAACGAAGAACACTAAACAAATTATCTTAATACTGTACTAATTATTGAACAAATATCATCTTTAAGCTGACACGTCGTTCACGCTACGTCTTGATTCTAACGGTTCGTCCTTTTTCCCGCCTGCACACGACATCAGACTCTACCAAATCATGACAACGTGGGGAACGGGCACCACATTCAGCCGTCCTGGATTCGTCTGGACCTCCAGCGACACTGAAATACAAAAAAAAAAAAAAAAAAAAAAAAAAAAAAAAAAACAAAAAAAACAAAACTGCAAAAAATAAGTCTCTGAAAAGTAAAGGTCAAATGTCTGTCTTCTTGGAAAATGGATAAGAACAATTTTCGTCTTAAAACTCATTACGTCTTCTTTAAACAGTTCTTTTGTCTTTAAAATGTCGTTTGTTGTCTCCTCCCCTTCTCTCTCTTTTTTTTCTCCCCCTTTTTTTTTGGCATCTTTTTCTTATCTTCTTCAAATTTGTCTTAACCTTGGTCCTCTCACTAGCACTCTGGAATACCATTCCATGGTTTCAGAAATTCAGAACATGTTGTTGTTCCATTTGGTCCTTCGTGGTCTCCTTCCTTGATTACGTCATGTGTGTTTCCTCCTTTAACTTTCACAATTTTATAGGGTCCAAGATACTTTGGTTTTAGTTTCAATTGTGGTCCAAATTGGGTCCTTTTGATGGCCACCAAGTCATTAACTCTATAAGGTCTAGCTTTTCTTCTTAAATTGTACGTCTTCCTGTTTTCCTCTTGTATTCTAAAAATCTGTTGCTTTGCGTGCTTTCTAAGTTCTTCTCTCTGAGCTCCAAAGTTTGCTTGAAATTCAACTTCGATCATTTCTCTAAGCTTTCCCGTCCATTTACATTCATCTTCATCCCAAAAAGTAGCTCAAAAGGGGTAGAATCTATGCTATGTTGATAAGTAGAATTAATCACTCGCTGCAGTTCATTTGTATATTTGTACCACTGAGCTGGATTATTTATTGATAGCTTCGAAAGAATTGATATAATGGTCTGGTTTATACCCATTTTCTCTAGGTAGGCCAGTAGTTACTAAATGATGTTTAATGTTCTCCTTAGAGCAATAGTCAGTAAACTCACTAGAGGTAAATGTACTCTATCGAATATAATTTGAGAGGGGTTCCCAAATACAGTCTTTTGGATCTCTAATTTTGCAATAGTTTTGGCAGATGTAGTGGTTTTCGTAGGATAAATCCACACAAATTTGGTAAATGCGTCAATTATTGCCAGAATGTACTTATAATTTTTATGTGTACTTTCCAATGGTCCAAGGTGATCAATATGATAAGTTTTTAATGGAATATCTTCTTTATGAAGTGGGTGTAAAAGTCCTTCCTTCTTTCCCTTATGATTCACTAGTAGACAACGAACACAATTGGCTACAATTTTCTCTACTTTTTGTCTAAGCTTGGGGATAAAATAATATTCTCCGATGTTTTTCTCAGTATATTTAATTCCTATATGTCCCTTTTCATAGGCCTCTCTTATAATCTCTATCTGCATACTTTCAGGTACAACAATTAATTCTTTACCGTCCACAAATTTATATAAGATTCCTTGTCTCTCATAATAATCTTCATAGTTAGGAATTTTTAATAATTCTATAATTGCTTTTGTTTCAGTATCTTTATCCTGGGCTGATTTTAACTTTGGTACAATATTGCTAACAGAAATACAAAGCACATTTATGAGGGATCTGCTAAGGGCGTCGACATGAGCTATCTTAGTACCGGAACGATGCTCAATAACATAATTGAACTCTTGTAGGAGCAAAACCCAACGAGCTATGCGGGTAGACAAATCTCTTTTCGCCAGAGTCCTTTCAAATGCAGAACAATTGGTGACTATTTTAAATGGAATTCCCAATAGATATACACGAAATTTCTTTAAAAGCTTCTATTATAGCAAGAGCTTTGAGTTCATAGCTCGAATATTTCTTTTCGGTGTCTGTTGTCTTTCTACTCATGTAATAGGTAGGGTGAAATTTATTATCATTTGGAGATTTTTGCATTAAAATTGCTCCATACTCCTCTAAGCTTGCGTCCATGTGTAATTTGGTTTCATAATTAGGACTGCATATTCCCAAGACTGGCTTCTCAGCTAACAGCATCTTAAGTTGATTAAAAGAATTTCTCTCCTCTTCACCAAATTTAAATTCATGGCTTTTTTTAAAAGGTCACTCAACGGCTTAGCAATAATGGAATAGTTTGGAATAAACTTCCTGAAGTATCCACTAAGTCCTAAAAAGCTTTGAATTTGCCTTAAGTTGGTTGGTTCTGGAAAATTAAGGACAGCCGTACTTTTTAAAGTAGATGGGAAAATTTTGCCTTCTTCCACTATGTGACCCAAAAATTCAATTCTCTTTTTCAAAAAAATGAGATTTCTTAAAGTTTATCTCTAGTCTGTAATCACTGGCAAGTTCTAAGACCCTTTCAAGTCGTGTGATTCCTTCTTCAAGAGAGGAAGACAAAATAATGATGTCATCCATATAGAATAATACAATACAATCATTAATCAGTCAGAAAATGGTGTTAATATACCTTTGGAATACAGCAGGAGAGTTGCAAAATCCAAAGAGGACCTTAAGGAACTGGTATTGTCCTTCACGTGTCACGAATGAAGTATACTTCCTACTATCTTTACTTACATTGACATGGAAAAATCCATTTTTGAGATCAATTGTGCTAAAAACCTGTGATCCCTGTAGTCTGTCTAAGATGTCTTCGATTAATGGGAGGGGAAATCTGTCCTTTACGATTACTTTGTTCAATTTTCTGTAATCTATGCATACACGGGGTGTTACGTTCTTTTTCTTTATGATTACAACAGGACTACAATATTCTGAAGAACTTGGCTCTATTATTCCTTGCATTAACCATTCAGCGACTTGAGCCTCGACAATCTTTTTCTCAAAAAATGGCAATGTACGTGGCTGATGAAATATCGGTTCATGATTTTTAACCAAAATATTCAGTTCTACATTTGTTCTCTTAACTTCATGTGGGACATAATCCAAAACCAAATGTTGCACCTTACTTTTAAAAATATTAGGAACTTCTGGTTCAATGTTCGCTTCAACTTCGTACATAATAGTTAAATCGATTGGCAAAATAGACAAACAGTTTATATTCTTAGCACATCAAGTTTTATTTCTTATTGTGATACCACTTTCATTAATAGTTGTCTCACCCTGCATTAAAACATTAAGGCCTATGATGGCGTCATAAATCATTACATCATTTGCTACTACACACACATCAGTGTGACACTTAAAATCGTCAATTTGAATATTTTCTGTAAAACAGCCCAATGGATCAACTACTGATTTTCCAAATCCATTCAAAGTAGAATTAATTGGGGATAACCTCCTAAGGGTGCGACTATGCAGACGTGAATTTAGTAGCGAGCGAGCGGTTGCAAGCGATATAGTTCTCACAAAGGAAAACCATGCACAAGTGAGAAATATCGCTGGCGAGAGCAAATTTCTGGTTCGCACACATATATGACAGGGTTTGATATTTCTCGTGTCTCGCCAGTTCTCGCTGAACAGTGCGCATGCGCCTTCGAAAAGAAGTACAAAATGGCTTCTTCCAGTGACCAACACAGCGGACCAGCTATAAAAGAAAAATTAATAAGTAATGTGTATTTACACCCAGAAATATGGGATAAACGTCTTCCCGATCACAGGAATCGAAACATCATACACACAAAATGGAATGAAATAGCGGAAGAGACTCAATTAGACGGTAAGTTTCTGTTTAGTAATAAGCTTATTTTATACCAGAAACACTCGCACATAAAAAAAAAAATAGAGAATAAAGATTCTGTAGCGTGTTTAATCTGTTTAATATATGCTCAGAATTACTTTGTTATATCGTGTCGTCGGATATACCGTGCTTTTCTTTATATTTGAACATGTGCTATATAACTAGAAGCTCTTGTATTTAATGTTGAAATATAAAATTGATAATTTATTTGAGTTAAATTATACAGTAGTTGTTAATAAATTAGTTTTTACGTTTGCAGTATCCAGATGCAAGAAGTTGTGAAAGAATCTGTGTGATCAGTTCAGAGCTATCCACAACAGCTTGCCAAAAAGCCAAAATGGATATTCTATTCACAATTACAGTTTTTAGCTGATGTGGTAGAAGCTAGAGAGTAAGAATCTTTAATATTTTAAAATAATGATAGAAAACTGCTAATAAAATAAAATTTATTTAAGGCCCCCATACTCAACCTGCGGCCCGCGGGCCACATGCGGACCGCTGACCTTTTGTGAGTGGCCCGGACGTAAATAATGCAGTAAAAATATGAATTTTGAAATTTTCGTGGCAAAAAATAGATTTGGTCACTCCGCCCACACCGCTAAGTGCTTTTTGTCCATAGAAAGTTGTCGCCGGATGTCCGAGCATTGTGAACACGTGGTGGCCATCAGGGGGCGATCCGCAAGAGACGGTAAAAGTAGAGCTAGACTTAGTAATTTATAGAGACCCCGTAGCGCCTACACGCGATACCCGTCCCGTGTTGTTCCCGAATATTTTCGTGTTGACCTCATTTGTCGAACCCGAATTTATTCATTTCTGCACCGGAACGTTTTTGATACTAGATGTCGCTATGCGTCATAATTTTTATATTAAAACGAACTTTAGAAATAATTTTTTGTTTTTATATTTATTAATATATCTATTTTGTTTGTGAAAAATAAAACAAGTAATTTCGGATGATAAAATAGCCACGATTATTAAAAAAAAAAAAAACGTGTAATTTTCGACGAAAATTCAACATGGCGTCAAGAATTTAAACATCGAATAGGTTAAAGTCGTAAGTCATAACTTGTTTGTTTTGCTTGTGTTCTGTGGCTCTGTAATTGTTAAAGTACCTTAAGAGTTATAATTGAGTAAACAATAAATCACATTGAATTAGAGACCATTTTATTTGAGAAATTGTAATTTATAATTATTATCAACCATGTCAGGAGTGTCTTCCAAACACAAACGAAAAATGTCTGACGAAAATAGAATGTTTCAAGACGAATGGGAAGCTGACTATTTTGTAGTGCAAAACAAACACGGTTTTGCAACTTGTTTGATTTGTCGTGAAAGTGTTATATTAAAAAAATATAATATTGCTCGTCATTTTAACACTAAACATAAATCGTTCAATGATACTTTTCCTCCAGGATCTCTCATAAGACACGAGAAATTGGCTATTTTTAAAAAGTCATTGCAAAATCAACAAAATATTATGTCTGTGGCAATAGTACAAGATGCAGCTGTAACGAAAGCATCGTATGAAATTTGTTATATACTTGGTAAACATATGAAACCGTTTACTGATGCTGAAATTGTGAAGGAATGTTTTTTAAGCGCTTCCAATGTACTGTTTGATAAATTCAGTAACAAAAATCAAATAATTTCTGAAATAAAAAAAATCCAGCTTTCAGATTCTACCTGTGTTAGACGTATTGAAGATATTGCGAACCATATTTGTGATAACGTAATTGAAGACTTGAAAAACTGCAAGTTTTTTAGTTTAGCTTTTGACTCTAGCACGGATATTTCAGCGACATCACAATGCTCGGTTTTTGTTAGATATTGTACAGTACAAAATTCAATTTGCGAAGATTTTTTGAAATTCCTTCCAATGAAGGGCCAGACCAGGGGCAAAGATTATCTCGATACTATTTGCAATTTTCTAGAACAGAACAAGATAGATGTAAAAAAATTAATTTGTGTGTGTACCGATGGCTGTCCTTCAATGACTGGATCTGAAAATGGATTTATTTCTCTACTGAAACAGAATTATGATTTGACAAATTTAATAACATTTCACTGCATCATTCATCAGGAAAACTTGGCTTCACGTATTGCTAATCCTAAAGTAGATACTGTGATGAAAACTGTCATAAATATAGTGAATTATATCCGAGCACGAGAACTGAACCACAGAAAATTTAAAAGTCTTTTAGAGGAAGTGGATAGTCAATACAATGATGTTCTTTTACATACCTCAGTACGTTGGCTTAGCAGGGGGAAAGTTCTGGAAAGGTTTTTTTCTTTGCGAAAAGAAATAATGCTGTTTTTACAGCAAAATAATAAAATATACAGTGAACTGCAAAATAATGAATGGTGGTGTATTGTAGCGTTTCTGTGCGACATTACAGAGAAGCTGAACAGTCTCAATACTGGTTTGCAGGGTAAAAATAAAATAATTTCACAGATGGCGAATAAAATATTTGCCTTCGAAGAAAAATTAAACATTTATTACCAAGAAATACAGAACAAAATACTGCGAAATTTTCCAACCATGACAAACGCTAAGCAGGACGGTATTAATATTTCTCCAGAAAACTATACAATTTTTTCAAATTATTTAACTGCGTTATCTGAGGAATTTAAACATAGATTTCATGATCTAAGGAAAATAAAAAATATCCTGTTGCTCATTGAAAATCCCTGGCACTTGGAACCGGCAATAATATCAGAATTGGCTGATATATTTGCATGTAATTACGCAGAGCTATTTGACGAATTTATTGAGATGAAGAACAATACACACCTGGAAGCTATTTTTAAAGAAAAAAGAGCGGAAAATAATTACGTTGACTTCTGGAAAGTAGTGCCCGAACAATATAAGACTGTAAAAAAATGTGCTCAAATTTTACTTACGTTGTTCGCATCAACGTATCTATGTGAAACGTCATATTCAAAAATGAAATATGCAAAGAACATATATAGAAACCGGCTTACTGATTCACACCTGGATGCCGTTTTACGAGTAGCATGCAGCAGTTACAAGCCTGATTTAAATGAAATTGTGAAAAAATGTTCGCAATATCAACAGTCACACTAAATTTCTAGGGTAAGTGAAAAATTATGTAAGTTTTTTATTATAATTGTTATGTTGCGGCCCGCGTGTAATAGCTATCATGTGTATGTGGCCCGAGAAAAAAAAAGGTTGAGTATGGTGGATTTAAGGTATAAGTAGAACATTTTATATAATAGTATTATTATACTTATCTTCCAGAACACATTCAAATGTTGCAGAAAGTGAAACAAATGAAAATATACAACTAACTGCATCAGAAGTATGTATTACTTTTGTATTTTTGTAATCTTTAAAATTATTTTTTATTGTTCTATTTTTAAATCTCAAATACTTCAGATTTTAGAAAATATCACTTGTTCCGAATCGGCTTTATGTGATGTGAATATTGAAGAAATTTCACCATCACATTCACATCCAAAGAAGAGGAAAACAGCTTTTTCAGATCAATTACTAAAAGAAATTACTAATGTAAATAGGTGAGAATATATTTTTTATATGTAATAATTGTCAAAATCTATTTTTTTGTAAGTTACAATTCAGAACATTAAAAATTTATTTCTTTGCAGGAAATTGAATGACTGTCAAACAAGTCCCTTTGCACTGTATCTTGACAGTTTGTTGGTGCAAGTGCCATCAAATAAAAGACGAGACTGTGAAAGAACACTGATAGATGTAGTAAACAGTTTTATTGATGCAGAATAAAAAGTGATATTTATTAATTTGTTGATTTATTTTTCAATACATATTAGTCCATTGCCAAGATACATTCCCTTCTGAAACAAAGTAGGTGGCAAATTTGTCTCTGATGTCTCCAGCCAATTTTGAAAAATTGCATGATACATTTTATTTGAATGGCTTCCATTGCATACACAATTCATCTGTGCGCCATGAACCTTCGCAAAATACACCATTAGGATCTAAATAATCTCTGTATCCTTCTGGGCAATATGCTGCTTCATCTAGAAGACATTAAGACTATAAATATATAATATATAACAAAAATAATTACTGTATTGTAATAAATAATACCTGATGAATTATTCTCAGTGATCATATAATTGTGTAACACAACAGCTGCTTTTATTATTTTATCTGTATTATTTGGTGCTAAAGCAATGGGTCTTCGAAAAATTCTCCATCGATTGGCAAGTATACCAAAGGCACATTCAATACAACGCCTACAAATACATTAATTAATAGTTATAATTCTAGATACAAATAATTTAAAGAAAATATAAGTATACCTTGCTCGACTTAAGCGATAATTAAACACACTCTGCAAAGGGGACAGTTGTCTACCAGGATATGGTCTCATAAAATCTGGGTGGAGTTGAAATGCTTCATCTATCAACACATGTGGTGCTACAGTATTTGAATTGGGCAGAATACTTGAACTTGGTATCCCCAATGTTCCATTTTTCAAATTTTTGCCTAGTGCTGATGCTTTCAGAACTCCTCCATCAGAAAATGAGCCATATGCACCAACATCAACAGCTAAGAATTTGCAATGTGCATCAGCAATACCTAACAATACAATGGAGTTAGTTCCTGGAAGAAATTTAATCAAATTAAAATTCTTGAATTTTATATATCTATTTCAAATTTCTTGACATAGTTAAGCATTACTAATTTTATCATGCTTTTAAAATAGTATATAGGTTAATAGAACACAATTCCTTGATTGAAATTATTAAGATTATCCATCAGAAACTGTTTTTCTAAAATCATAAATAAGTGATATAAAATGCATTATGTTTACTCTATAATAAAAATATATTCATTATGAGAAACTGATGTTTTAAAATAAGATGAAATGATTAGAAAAGCAATGCAATCATTTATATGAAGAAGTTATTCATTCATTTTGAAAATCACCTTATAATTGTAAAATTGAGAGCCACTATTTGCAGGCTGCTGAATGTTGACATGCTTGCCATCAACTGCTCCACAGCAATTTGGGAATTGCCATAATCTTTCAAATTCTATGGCAGACTTCCTCCATATCTGTTCAGTAGGTTCCTGCAAGGAATGCACAGTACAACAGATATATTTCAGAATAAACTAATGTAATATATATATATATATTAGAATAAAATGCAGTACAAAAGTATAGAATCATCACAATACTTAATTACAATTATGTATGAAATTTTACATAGCATTGTAGTGTATATTTTCTATTTTATATACCAGACATACATGAATACTCACCGGAATGTATTTTTCTTTAAGTGTGTCCCAAATAACTTGGCAAGTCTCTGGTATTATTTTTTGGATTGTGGAGAATCCTACATAAAATGCATAGGCTAAAGATTTGTAGGAGTCTCCAGTTGCCAAAAATCTAAAAAAGCATTTAATTAGTTGATAAACTATCAAATTCTAAATTTTTATCTGAACTATTATATTCAAATTTTACCTTAATGTAATAGCTAAACATTCACCAGGAGAAATAGGCTCATTATTGCTGTATTTTTGTAATTGATCAGCTATCAGCGTTAATAATTTATCAAATAGTGACGGAGCCATTCTTAAATAATTTCTAAAAATTGAGGAATGATTATTCTTCATATCTTTCATCTATATATAAAAAGAATTTTATTTTAATATTTTTCAAACTATAGACAAACATGATGTTATACAAATTCTGTTTTCTTACCAAATTATGATAATGTCCTTTAGCCTTTCACTGTTTCCAGAGGGGATGGACACCGTATCTTCGTTTTATTTTTACTTCTTCATGAAGTAATCCTAATAACAACAACTTTTTCTTTGCTAGTAATATGCGTCGATGTCGAACCATTTTCTTTTATTCGTCAGGGAACACGTGACTCGTCAACTTCACGCCACTTTCTCTTGTTCGTTCGCGTCTGTGTGATCGTATAAATGAGAGCGAGAAACGTCATCACCTCTTCTCGCCACATATTCTCGCTCGCTCGCGTCTGCATAGTCGCACCCTAAAGCTTAATTTATCAAAAACAGATTTTCTAAGTAATGTTGCTTGACTTCCAGTGTCTATCACTGCCTTTATACCTATGTTACCAATTATTATTGTTTTAAACAATCTTGGTTTTATAGTAACGTCTAAAATGGCAACTTCTGGTTTCGAATTTGACCTTGGGCATTCAGAAGCCTTATGGCCAAATGTTTCGCACTGGAAACACTTTAAGCCTTTATCCTTATGAATACAATAATTAGAAATATGATTTCTTGAACCACAATTATAACAAATTCTATTACTGCGATTATCAACATAACCATCCTGCTTTATGTTATTTTTATTTACATTTTTGCATTTTGTGTTAGATCCATAATTTCCATACCTTGTTTGTTTCTATCAAAAGTATTATTATTTCTATTGTAGGAATCATGTTTAGGCTTCACTATATCGAAAACCTTTACTTTTAACAGAATCACTTTTTATTACTTCATAAACTTTAAGTCTTTCTTTAAATTCTGACAAGTCTTTACATCCATATAAAATAGTTTTGTTTTCATGTTTATTATTAATCCCTTTAATCACTTAATGAATTACAGCAACCATCATCTATTTTTCCAAAATTACATAACTCCTTCATCTTTAAATAATATTCCTGAACGGATTCAGAGTCCTGCATTGTGCGCTTACTCGCAAGCTCATGCAACCTAGCCGAATTAATTTCAAAAGAGAATTTATCGATCAGAGCTTGTTTTAGTTTTTGCCACGAATTAATGTCAGGTACTGTTCTTACAAATAAGGAGGTGTTACGTAACCAATGGATCTTTTAGCAAAAATGAATTTTTTCGATTCAGACAAACTGAATAATTTAGAGGTATTTTCAAAACGTTTGATCCAATGAATAACATTCTTGTGCAGCTCTGCATTAAATTTAAAAATGGTATTCTCGATATCGGAACAATTAATAGTAACACTATGGAAAACACAACTAGCTACAGCATTACTTCATTCGGATTGGATAGAGGAATCGAAACTGCTTTTATTTTTATTTATATTGCACTGCATTGAACATTCACCTCCACCTTCAATTTGTTTATTTGGTTCATCCACTTCAGACTTGGAACCAGATGAAACGTTGAGTCAGACATGGTGAGCTAAGGTTTCCAAAACACATAAATCTGCCAGAATTCTCTTCCCTACTTCTGCTTTATTGCCTTCAAAAGATATGTTTAAAATGTTAGAAATCGTAATTAGCTCATTCAACGAAAAGTTACTTTCTATGCTTTTTAATTTCTTATTAAAATCATCACTGTTTAAAGCAAACGTAAATCCACTGAAATTTCTTATTCTCTTTCGGCTTGACCAATTGCCTTCAGTATCAAAAATAAATTTATGAAGAATTTTGATTTTATCAAACTTGCAACGCTTATTTCTTTTATATCATTTAGAATCATTTTGAGGAATAAAAATCTACATACCCCTTATGCTGTTTCCTAGATGAGTGCTGATAGTATCCAAAAGTTTTCGTTTTAATTCAAAATCAAAAGTTTTTGTTTTGGTGAATCACAGTCAGTTTGAGAATCTCTTCGTTCGTCAGTATCCCATTCCTGAGAAATGTGGATGTCTAAAGATGGCTGAGCTGGGCTGGGCGTTAAGAAGCATATACAGAACACAGTTTAAGAAAGAATATGAGGAACTACTTATGATATATAATGACGTATATTTTAATACAATATACAAAAAGAACATTACAAATGAAGAACACTAAACAAATTATCTTAATACTAATTATTGAACAAATATTATCGTCTTTAAGCTGACACGTCATTCACGCTAAGTCTTGATTCTAACGGTTTGTCCTTTTTCCCGCCTGCACACGACATCGGACTCGACCAAATCATGACAACGTGGGGAATGGGCACCACATATATGTTATATCAAAACATTGTCATATTAATAATGTTTTCTGACTGTTTATTTTGAATAAGAAAAATTTGTGAAAGCTCTTCTTAAGAACTTTAACATTGGTGCATAATCTTTAAGTAAATATCCAAAGAGCACTATTCTGCTAAGAATTGAAACACCAAAAATTTCCATCTATCCGTCTTTTGTGTACGATACTTTGACATTCCAAATTGCTTTTTGTATGCCAAATCCATGCTTCCATACAATTTTGGACATCATGCTTTGTACGGTGGTTTTGCTAATGACAAATCATTTTGTGACAATTTTTATTGTCTGTTTTCTATTTGAGCCATGGTTTTAACATATTTATTATGTTATGTTAACTGCAAAAATAAGTAAGACTTTCTTCCTTTTACAACGGATTTTGTAATTTTTTGTTCTCTCTCTGAAAATTTCATTCTTCTGTTCAACTTTCGTAAATCTCTTTAATTAAAAATATGTGGAACATTTAGAAAGTGATTATTATTCATAAACAGAATATTCTCTTGTCAATTAATTATAAATAAAATAAATCTTGACAACTTTACAATATCGGGTATTTCTCCCTAAGAGAAAAGGGGGCAGGGTTGTGTCCTGTCCCCCTTTCTCTTCTTCATCGCCCTCAATTATGTCATGCAACAGGCAGAAGAGACCAATGCACGCATTGGGCCAGCATCCATTGGTCTGACCAGGATCATCTTGGAGATTAGTTTTTGCTGACAATATCGCCCTGTTAAAAGAAAGTGGGACAATGCTACAGCATGCCACAACTATATTGGGTTAGGAGGTACGCAAAATTGGCCTCAGGATAAATGCCGTGAAGTCAAAAACTATGCATGTAGGAAATACCACACAAACGCGGGGAATAATTGTTGGAGCACAATTGGAGAAAGTGGAGGGTTTTTACCTACTTGGGTAGTATTATTTCCCAAAACGGCGACGTGAAGTACCATGTTGGAAAGGCAGCGACCATTTTCCGGCAGATGAACAAGATCTGGTCTTCACTATCCATCTCATTGAGAACCAAATTCCGCCTGTTCACCTCCACCGTGATTCTGATAGCTGTTTGTTAGTGAGTCCTAGAAAACATCAATAGAAGGCTCAATGTCTTCCAACAGATATGTTTACGACGAGTCTTAAAGATCTGATATTTAGATCATGTCACTAATGAAGAGGTTCTCCGAAGAAGTAGGATGTGCAAACTTCATACCATTGTCTTCCGTGGAAGAGTTCGATTAGCCGGCCACATTTTTCATATGGAGAACAATAGAATCACTAAGACAGCCATAAAATGGGTTCCTCCTGGTCCCAAACGACCATGAGGATGCCCTGGAAATACTTGGCATAAAACCTTTCTCCAAGATCTGAAGATGCTCAATATATGGGAAGAAGTTGAACTCCTTGTCCATGATTGAAATTGATGGAAGATAATTGCTGCCCGGTATGCTACTTAGCATTGAAGGAATTACCACTAAGTCTTGTCAATTTTTTTTAAATTTTGGAATAAAAAGGCATTTGCTGGCAGTCGGTAGTTCAAGTGAAACATTTTGTCGTACAGTGTCTAGAATCAAAAAGCATAGATTTCGACCAGAAGACTTAGAAGGGTTGTGTAACACTATGAAAAAAATGTTTTAACTTAAATGGAACATATATTGAAAACTAAAGTGCTAAATTTAATTTGGTCTTTTTATTTACATTTTCTAAAACTTTTTGAATGCCCCTCGTACATTAACAGAAACAACAGGAAATATAAAACATTACATCCAAAAGTTAAATGTTTCCTATGGAAGAAATCTTTAAAAAATTGACTAATATTAATGCTAAATGATGATTTGTGCTGATATGGGGACTGTGGATAGTGTAATTTATAAATGTAGATTACAATGAACTATGAAAAGATTTATCAGACATTTTACACTGTAGAATAACAGAAGATTCATTTTGATAGCCTTCTATGAATCAATTTTGTATAAATTTCCTCTGTTTTTTTTTCTAGACTCTCTTATGCCATCGGTACTAAATATTCTTTTAATCATAAAATATTTATAATTTATTGTATAAATAACTTTTGTGAGGCACATTTTCAATTTGAGTAACAGATCCACACGCTTAACGCAGTTATAAGAGAATTCAAGTCTGATCGTTTGCACCCGGCGAGACCGTCTTCTGTTGCACTAGTTTTCCATAGCCGCCTCTTCCACCATCAAAATCAGTTCGATATTCATCGCGAACCTGAAAAAAATTAATTTTTTTAGCTCCATAAGATGGTAACGATTACATGATTTAAACACTGATTAGAAGATAAAATATTTAGAGAAACATTACATTTTATTAAAAAAAATGTTTAATTCAACAAATTTAGATCTTGTTTACATATAAAAAAGTTAAGAAGAGAAGGGAGAAACCTGTATCAGAATAAATACTACCAGAGTCAAAATTAAATAGCAACTCAGACACTACATATGATTCTAAAGCACCATTGGAAATATTGGTCTTTGTTTAAAATTAAAAAAAAAAATTGGAAAATTTCCACAATGCATGATTTTTCCATCCAAAATAGAGTTGTATCTTACATTTGCAAACCAAAACGACAATTGACACTCATCTAAAATAATAACCATACAATGCATTCATTATACACCAATAATACACATTTTTGACCATTTTAACAGTCACAAGTTTAAACATGCTTTTCTGATAATGGGTGCTTAATTTAAATGCCTTTGAGATAACATAATGCAGCATCAAAAGCGAGCAGAAGAGCAAGGAAATAAACTTCCAAACATTATTTATTTTGTGGTATCTGCATGGTGCATCTTAAAAATTGGAAAATTGATATTTTACTGTAGCAAGAACTTGGAAGATAATCTTTTTGACTAAATTGAATAAGTTAAAAATAACAAATAATGTGAAGGAACATGAGAGATTGAAATGGTAACAATGTTATTTAAAAGAAAAGTGACTGTCAGGAGGGATCGCGTATTTTCTGTAGTTTGTATAACAACAAAGTAGGTAGATGTTAAAGTTTATATACAAAACACTGTACAATTAGTAAAATTCCTATAATTTTTAGATAAAAAGATTTAATTAAAATTTTTATTAGTTAAAATACAGAAGGAAGATTATACTTTTATTGTTTTTAAAGGGCTTAAAATGTTGTTCAGAAAGAATATAAACTAATTTGTCAAAACAAAGAGGATTTCTTGAAATAATCTTATGAGCCAAATGCCAACAAAAGAAATCTCTTATTAGGATAATACAGGAAATTTATTATTTATATAAATGCTGATAACCTGGCAATCTAGATTTGCCATTAATATAGAAGTATTCAATATAGGAGAAAATTAAGTTTTAACTAAGGCAAACAATGTAAATTGATTGATTGTTGAAATGGTTCTGCTATGAATATTCTGTGAGATAAGAAATAGCTTTTGAGATACTGTTTTATAAAATTTTATTAAATTAACAATGTATCTGCTGTTACCAGATGGTAATGAGCTTGTGACTATCAAAAATTACAATAGAATTTGTGCTCTTTCGGTTGTGGCAGATGAAGAGAAAACAATGACTACAAGTCTGACACAACATTTATACTTTATCAAATGTTTAACTAAGCTAAATTGTTACACATACCTGTCCACCACTTTTTCCTCTTCCGAACTGCCGACCTTCGATAAAACCGGCATCCCAGTCCGTTCTGATTACGCGATCGTCCAGCCTCGTTCCGTTGACATACCTCATGGCATTTTCTGCGTCGTCACGAATATAGTATCTAGGCATTGTTAAGAAGAAAATTCCGACAGACCATGGAATAAACTACAGATTTTATTAGTAATTATAATAAACTGCATAGAAATTTAACCCTATTCTCAATGTTTAAATGCATGTTTTTCTATTTAACAAACTAATTTTTATATAAATATTTATAAGAATTATACATTATTAAAATGTTGAGAATTTAAATAATTTATGATACACTTATGAATAATTGTCCACATTTGCATGGAGAATTATTCATATTTCCCACCGGTTTAAGGTTTGTTAAGAGATTATTTTTCATTTATGATAATTTAAGACTAGGATCCCGAAATCATGCATCCAGAAACCTTTACTTTCATCAATACACAAGTTACCTTTTAACAAAATTTTAAAAACAATTAAAACTGGTTACATCATTATTCTTGATTCTATAGCCTACAGCTTTCAATCAAGCAAGTGTTATGCTTCCATTCTTATAAATATATCTCAGTTAACTAACTTTAGGACTACCCTAAGCAAATATATATCAATGTGCTGCTTTCTGTAGTCTGTTACAATTTATAAGCAAAATATTATATAACTAAAGTATAAATTTCATTGAAATGTTTTACACTCAATGATCAGATGGAGGAGTGATTAAGGTAGCAGTCCATCACTCTGGGGACCCAGGATAGAATGTGGATGGGTAAAAAACTCCATGGGAATTTTGAGGTATGGTCCATCCAGATATGTCAGGCCCCATCTCTCACCACCTGGCTGTTCCACTATAGGCCTGGCTTGCTAAAAGAGATCCTCTTTGTGCCCACAGGACAGAAAATTAAAAACTCATTGACAGTCTCTAAACAGCTCATAAACAGCTTGACAATATACAGGTATCTTACTTTTATTGAATACTGATTGCCTCTAATGAAAGATAAAAATTAAAGATTAGAGGCAATAGAATCTCCTCGCATTATAAAAAAAAGGCTCACCCAGAATACCCTTGAAGCCATACATCTAATAGAGCATTTGAGATCATCAGTAATTTCTTTTAATATCTCTGAATGTTTTTAATAAGTAAAATATTTTAATTCTCTTGTTACAACCAGTCTATAAGTATAAATTCCCCAAAATTATCCACAAAGCCACATATGCTGCTACACCAGGGGTCACCAAACTATGCCCCGCAAGGAGGTCAGTTCATCTGGCCTGTTGCCACACTGTGCCACAAATGAGCTAAAATATACCGTATATCTCGGCAGATAAGACAATAATTGAATCATAAAAAAAGGCCCCCAAAATCCGTGGTCATCTTATAGGACATATACAAAAAAAATTAGATTGAAATTTATATAAATTAAAACCATTATAAAAAGACACAAACCGTAATTACAGATAACCCCCGTATAACACGGCACTTCTATAGTACGGATTCACTCTAACACGGTTCGAGTCGAGAATTGGGAACATCCCCCGTATAACACGGTGGTTTTATAGCACGGGTTCACTCTAACATGGTTCGGGAATTGGGTAAAACCCTTGTACAACATAAAATGTAATAAAGGGTGTGTTCTTTTATACTTCCGCATAACTCCACGCGAGCATTCTAATTGTTTTCGTGGCTACTTTGAATGCTCTTTCAACAAATAATCCATTTAATGGTTAAATTTTACAATTGGGACCCTTCTTTTGCCTCTAAAAGCTCATTTTAGAATTATAGATTCCTCCATCGCGATACTGTTGATAGTGCGGGCGCCGCCGTCTTTCTTTCACTGTCATTCCTAAATGCCTACAAACAGCAGCGCACTCCCGTTGCAGAGCGACCGCTATTAATGAACGCACCCAAAAACTGTTACCAGTTGATGATGCTTATGCTGAGATCATCATATAAGATGAATAATACTCTGGTAAAATATTTACTTAAATAATAAATAAGTATTTTACCTATGAAAAAAATGAATAATAAATCCAATTTAAGTAAGGATTTAATTAACAGCATGTTTTTTAATTTTTGGAACCTAACCCCCCCTTTTTGCACTAGTTCTTTGTTTCGTATAACACGGCAATTTTTTGGAACGTAACTCCTCTGTGTTATACAGGGGTTACCTGTATTTACTAGAAGAGAGTAGGGTATGTGCACAAAATAGAATAGCCCATATGATGTTTTTGTGAATAGTCAAGCTCATTACCCGAATGCCGAATCAGTGCCAACATTTGCAACAATCACAAGGCAGTGCTGCCAGATGCAAGAAAATAGAATTTGTTCATTCAAAAAATTACAAATAGGACATAATTCCATATATGCTATACAGTATTATTATTCAGATGATGATCACTGATCTAAACTAAATTCATAGTCTGTTGATAGTTTGGGGGTTGTCTTATAAGACAGATATATGCTAAAACTATAAAACTTTGACAAAAATTTATACCACATCTTATCTGCCGAGATATACCGTAATTATTTATATGGAAATATCATACACTGTAGATAAATTTACTATGCAAAAGAAATTAAAATGAATGTAAATAAAAATGCCAAAATTGGTCCAATCTGATTTTTGCATATGACAATAATATAAATTTTAGATAAATCAATGAAATAAAAAATTTGGCGACTTTTTGCAACTTTGGATATCAGAGCACTTTTCGTGTAAGTATTGATAAATGCAATGAAGTTTCTAAGGAAAGCAATTACCAGCTTGCTGCAGCCATCCTGTTTGTGTATTGGTAAATAAAATATATTGATTGTCTTTATTTTTTGTGTATTCAGCATACTATATTCAACAAAACAGTTATGTGGCCCATGCTCATCATTCTCTCAGTTATGCGGCCCACTGTGAAAAAGTTTGGTGACCCCTGCACTACACAACAGAGTTGCAGCAAAACATTCAGTTCCCTTCGAATTTGGAACAGTCAACCTCCAAAATTTCTAGTTGCCAAATTATGGCAACTACAAATTTTTCGGCTCCATTATAATCTTACAACACTGCCATGATATTTGCAATCAATCAGTCATTAATGCCTATAGTAGGCATTTGCTTATACTCTACCATTTCCCCAGTTGATAATGGCTAGAATGTTACCTGTTGAATACAATATGTATTCATTTATGTTAAACTAGCATATAAGCCCAGCATTGCTTGGGCAAAAAGTAACAATAGCAAAGATTAAGATTATTACATTACAGCCAATCTTACCCATTTTCACAGAATATTAGATTCCCCTGTTTCCAGGCTAATTAGAAAATTTTTAGATGGGTCTAAAATTATGTTCGATTTAATGCAAAAAACTGCATCTGCGCCTGTAAATCTTACACATTGCTTTCTCTTAATACAGTAGAACCTCGAAAACTCGGCTCTCGATAACCCGGCACTCCGGATAACTCGGTCACACCCTGGCAGGGCAAAAAAATCTTTAGTTAATTAATTTTCATTATAGACAGCTTTATAAAAGTATAAAAGCTCTCATAAAATATTTTTTTGAGGTCTGTCTTATCAGGTAAATTACTGTACACAGTGTATTCATTAATTTTTATTTTCATGTAGTAAAGGCTCTATGCCTTCATAACGAACGTACTTTTCCTTTGTTTAAGGTTATTTGGGCAGTTTATTCTCTGTTATATTCTCAAGTAAACAATACATACAAGTACAGTACAGTATTTTCTGAGGAAACACTCGTACTTATTTTTTTTAACCCCATTTCCGATAACCAGGCATTTTCACAAACTCGGCCACCCTTCGGTCCACATTAGGCCGAGTTTTCGAGGTTCTACTGTACTTCCATTGTTGAAGCCCTAATCCTGTCCCTTTCCCCACGGGAGGGGAAATTTCAAAAAATCCCTTGTTAGTGTGCATTCTTGTGACGTACCCTAACTGTGTACCAAATTTCAAGTTTCCATGCTGAAATGCTCATGATGAAATGCTTGTATACACATGCACCATCTATCGTAGGATAAATGTACTATGCCAGAAACCTTCTTGGGAGTGTATTAAACAAGTTCCCAAAGTTTCATGGCAATCGTACACATATATAATCTGCACAACAATCAAAAGAAATTGGGAATTTTTTTACTCCAGGCCTGGAGAAAACTTATAGGCCCATAGTAGTTCCTCACTCTATAAATTATTTTCACTAACAAAAAATTTTTTAGACTGCTTTTTATTTATTAATGAAGAAACATTCCACACAATTCATTTGTTCAAAACAAAAACAAAAAACATGCAAAATGGGCTCAATAGAGCTAGATAGGCCTGCTATGAAATTGTTCAAATATGATGTCACTAATTTCAAGTCCTTTTTGATTACATACTCCCTAACTATCATATTTTTCCACCAAATTTTTAAATATCTCTTTGCTAATGTCACGCTTGATCTGCTAATATTGAAATCAAGCATTTCTGTAAAATACATCTACCATACATTAATTTATACATATTTCCTGTCAAGGCAAGATAAATTTTAAAAATAGGAAATAGAAAAAAGTGAAATTCACTGATCTATCACAGAAGACAAGTCTGATGACATTGCACTAAGTAACTCTTAGACTAGTGATAAAAATCCATCCATTACAAAATCTGTACACACACTTTCCCAGTATAGACATCATATTCAAACAATACCTAATACTACATTTACACGACAAAAGTTAATTCGGCTATGATTTATCCCGCTTAAATTAACATTAACAAGGAATAACAACAACAACAGGTCAAAACAGAGTTCATATGGAATGCAAAGGAGTCACTCTACCACAGACCCACGCAAGCTCTCGACAGCACCGGCGATCCACCAAGGACAGGCGAATCCAAAGAGGAATTTCCGGCATCCATTTAAGTACCAGACACACCAAGAAAATCCAGAAAACTCCACGAGTCTGTCACGTTTTCCATCACGTTAGTGTCTAGCTGTTTTATCCATTCGGTCGCGAAATAATACCATAATAGAAGAGAAAAAAAGGATACTCTACGAAACAGAATCCACAAGGTGTCTTCTTGAATCGATCCAGACCCATGATAATTCTCTTAATGTCTCCGCATTTGGAAAACAATTCGTAGATTTGCTCTTCTGTGGTATAAAATGACAGATTACCTACGTAAAGGGTACACGACGTCAACAGTTTTCTTTCTTGTTCCACTCTACTTCCCTAATTTCGTTTTAAAACAAAATGTTAATTCGCATGTAACTGACACTTTTCGTTAGTCTCGCGGCAAAAACCGTCCATTATCTAAAGTTAAATCGTATTATTTGGAAGAGGAGTTTTACTATAAGGAGTAAAAGATGACTGACCTTGAAATGTTGGTCCCTATAAGCACTGAGATTAACACTCATAATTGCATTATAATCCCCTTTAAATACACGGCGAAGAACGATACTTCGTATATCGCACGCTTTGTTTGGTCACGCGTCTTCTTCTACAACGTCTCAGTGTTGCCACTCAAACCCGATAAATAGTTTTTAAAATTTGACTGGCGAAGTTGGTAGGATTTACACTTTAATAATATACGTTTCGTACAGAAACAAAAAAATAAAATAAAATAGTACATGATGTGACTTCGAAATAATACTATATAGAGTGACTGTGACTTTAGATACAGCGCTCTTGGTGCCAACGACGAGTACTATCGACCGCCATTTTACTTTAAGTCAAAACGTCGAAGTCTATACTACAGTGGCTAGAAAATATAGTGTCGAAATCGAGCTTATTTTCTGTCCCTATATTGTACGTTGCCGCAAGAGGCGCTGCTGTCAATCGTTGTGCTACACTGGCTGTATCATCTTATGTTTATATTGGTTTTAAGTGGGATTTTTAAGCATAGTAAATGTGCTGTAGCCAAGTAAAAGAATTTAGATCGATAATAAATTATATCACTAGCAATCAATTATTATATAGTATTACTTTATTAACATTTATGAAGGAATTCATTTTATTAAAGCTAATTAAGATTCTTATTAAATCAAATAGCCTACACTGTATTGTCTATTTTTACATTACAGCTGTTGAGTGCTGTACAAACAAGTATTATTTAGAGTACAAGAGTAATCTACTCTTGTTATTACCTTATTAACAACAAGGTTTATTCATATTTACTAAAAAAATACAGAATTTATCATATTTTTAATAATAAAATGTAAGTTTTATATGGCTTTGTGAACCTCTTCCACTGTGAGGGCCTAAAATAGAATTTATTAAGCAAATGCCATCAGTTACATAATACTGTATACTGTTCACAGTATTATGTGACATAGTATAAAGCAATATTAAAATTACAATTAAATTCTACACAGTATATAAAATATAAAGGCAGAATGTTACTTTATTGTCCCAATATAAAATTACAAAATTAAGTATGTACAAATAAACGATTATTAGTCTACTGCCAAGTACCCATGCATATACACTTTATATTTGAAAAATCTCTCTTAAAAAATTACAGATTAATATGCATGTAGATTTCTCACCCTTTTCGACAAAAATAAAAGAATTAAAAATTACAGTAGAGTAATATCTATAAATTAGAAATACACAAGTCAGTAAAGTTTCTGTTCAGCCATTTCCTAAGGATTTATTCACTTTACAAGCACAAATTTAATCGCTTTCGATGTTCTTGTAAGAAAGGATATCACGTAGCCAAAGCGAAAGTAGCACTACGATTGACATCAGCGCTACCTTGTCTGTGACGTCACTAACCTCGATGTATGGACCGAACGGTTATAATGGAGGAGTATAAGCGCTTTCGACACTATATTTTCTAGCCACTGTAGTCTATACCATGTGTTGAGCAGAATTGTCACTTTAGAATCTATTTTTCTTATATAAATTTATATTGTTTTGTTTGTCCCTAGATTTGAGATTTAAACAATTAGATAAGTGTTATAAATCTAGATTGTTTCTTCTCGAGCACGAGTATTTTAATTTTTTTTTTCCTTGAGAGTATACTATTTTTCTTCGACAATTTTTCTCTAATATTTCATTATCAAAAAATTTTTAAAATAATCCTGAAGAAGTTTTTTCGGCTACAATACAATCTTCGGCATCAGAAAAGACACGATGATCAATGAGCAAGTTTTGTCTCGCATAATGAGCCACGTGAATAAAAACAAGCATTACTTTATTCTTGTAAAATTTGAAGGAAATCCTTTTAGCCGTATGAATAAAAATAGAATCAAACCTTATACTTATGAGCATGAAACAAATTCTTTTAAATGGAGGTTTTGCTTTAGTAACAAGTATTCCGTGTGAATAAAAGCAAGCGTTAACTTCGAATTATAAGCAATACATGCTTATAATTCGCCTGAATGGGGCCAGCTTCCCCTCCAAGTCCTCCCGAAAGGCATTCTGTACCCCCCCCCTTCTCGCGTGAGTCGTCTCCTATAAGGCCGGCTTTGGTCGCTTCGTGACCTCTCTCCTGTCTTCCTCGGATTGATCGTCTTTGATAAGGCCGCTTCTTCGGTCGCTGTGCGATCATTTCCTCTGTTTCTTCGGAGTGAAAAGCGAGAGCTGCAGCACTCCACTATCGTCAATGAAATGAAATGAAAATTCAGACAGACTTAAAAGCAACAACAAACTACACTTCTTGCAGTTATCTACTTTATTTTCTGTTAGATTAACTACATTAGCCATGGTTAAACATTAAGAAATGTTAAATATTATAAACTTCGTTCCTCTAAAGTCAATGATTTCGATGCGTTATTTAGGTTTGAAGAAGAAAGCATTGAATGGTTGGCACATATTTTAAGAGTGACGACTGAATCACGAGATGTGCGCTGACATTTTTACAAAAAATAAAAATATGCTTAAGATATTTAGCTGATCCTGGATTCCAAAAAGGCATAGAACTTGGTGTAAAGCAGTCAAGTGTCACGAACTGAGCAATGTTGTGGAAAAAATAATAGCTCAGAATGATCTATTGTAGGAAATTTTATCCAACGATCATTCTGTCATGAAAACAAATAAATACCGCTTTCTAACTGCAATTGGTGTGATTGACTACATTCTCATAGGGAAAAAAAATCTGGACTTTGTGGTGAGTACTTTAATCAAAAAAGAAAATTCACAAACATATAAGTTACTTGTGATGTCAGATGTTCACCATTGTTGACGTTGGTTATATATCTACAGCAGGCCCGCCGTAAGCGGGAGTGCAAGGCGTGCACCGCACGCAGGCGGCACGTCCAGGGGGCGGCAAATCGAGCGATCGGTTACGTAAAATTCAAAGTCATTGTCATAATACCCACCCTACTTATAGCATAAGTAATGTCTTCGCATGGAGAAAAAAATTCTGACCGGCACGCAATTATTATATTCTTATTTATATTATAGCGTTAAAGCGCCTCTATTGGCATTTATCAGAATTAAGATGCAACGCGAAACGTCTGTCGGCAGGTTGAAGCATCCGGCGGCGCCCGAAAGCCGTAGTCGTGCTCTATGACAGAAGTTGATCGGACTGGCGATAACAGGGAATCCCACAGAGCTTCCTTCTCAATTTGTATTTGTACGCATTCGAACAGTTCTATCGCATATCAAATTGCAATTATTTTGTTAATAATTTTTCTGACATGGGTCTAAGTATAATTAATCATATTTTAACTGGGTTAGCATTTAAATCTGAAGCTTAAAGACGATTCGAGTAGTGAAACAGACATTGACGGTATTGATTTGTATGATTGAAATCTATACTTTAAAGTTGCATTTTCCAGAAAACCAGTCTAATGATCCACAAACCCTATTACAATATCTTTTTATTAATGACTTAATATCAACATTTCCTAACACAGCAATAGAACTAAGAATATTACTTACATTGCCGGTTACAGTTGCATTTGGTGAAAGGTTTTTTCAAAGTTAAAAATTATAAAAAACTATTTAAGATCAACAATGCACTAGCAAAGACTAAGTAATTTAGCTATAGTTTCAATTGAACACGAAATCTTAGCTTGGATACAAGAAAATTGATAGCAGATTTCGCAAACATAAAGGCAAGAAGAGTTAAATTTCTGTAAATAAATATTTATATGGTTTTACACTTAAGTAAACAAAAATAACTTAGTAATAATAAATAGATTTTTTTTATAAAATATTTCTTTTCTTTTTTCAGACCCTTATCAGACAACACTAAAGAGCCTTACTGGCAAGCTCAGCCTAGGTAGTCGTAGTTAAACAGGGGGCGGTATAATCGGTATCCCCACGTTTCTTTATGCAGCGCTCGAGAAGCGCTTTACAGCGAACACACTGAAACTGGTTTCTAATTGGCCAACACCGCTCGTGACGTCATTTCGCTACACTCTCGCTGCATAAAGAAACGCGGGGTATTGCACACGGGCGTTAAAACAGCTAGCGGCGCCCCTGTATTTTACCATATTTTTCACCGGGAATTCCAGATTTAGGCACTTTTCCGGAAGGAATCCGCACGAAGTACGATTAGATCTGAAAATACGAAAACCAATAGAGATGACAAGTCTGTAACTTCCATTGAATTGCCTTTGTACCGTAATTTTTTACTTTGTCTGGAGCTAAGCTGGTGGTACCAACGAATATTCTTCCTCTACGGCAGTCCGTTTATCTTGTACTCCGTTTTGTTCGAGTCGATCCTCAAGACCTATACAAACTCGGGCGTTAAACGAGCCATCGAGACGAATTTCGTGGCATTCACAATGATCGCAGATAGCTCTAACAGGGAAACAAAACCAATTATCGTGGTATATTTAATCGTTATTCACTTATATATTTCGAGTTGTCTACCTCCAAGCTTAAGGTTAATAATCCGGGCACTGACTTTTGCACTTTAGATACGGTTGTCCTTCGTCTATTTCTACGGTTAGTGGGTCCATTTTAACGAAAAAATACAAGAAAAAAAGACTTAAAAACTCACAAAATAATTTTCAAGCGTACAAATATTAATTTCTAATATTTTGCAACTATTCATAAAGAAAAATACAATAGCATCATATTATAAAAATCATCTATCACAAAAATCCGCCATGAAACAAAGTTAATAAGTGAATTTCATTTGAGAGGGATGAGGCGTTACCCTCATTGTGGCCACAGAAAGGTACCCTGTTAATGTCCAATGGACGTTGAATCAAAAGAAGAAAAGCTAATTAATGTAAGAACTGAACATAAATTATAACTATTTTTAAGTTCCATGTGTTTCAAAAATATTTCAGAAAGAATTACAAATGATATGAATCAAAATAAATAAAATTTCAATGAATATAATATGACTATTTTAAAATAAAGAAAGCATTTGTTAAGTAAAGTACTGTATGTTCAAAACAACAGTTTAAAATGAGTAGATCGTACTGGGCCTGTACCAGTAACGCGTTATAGTTTTATGGTAAACCCAAGCAAATTTGAATTAGTGGGCCCCACGTACAGTATTGACTTCAGACATTTTTCTTCTGTGCATACATTTTCTTATAAAAGATTAGTTTGCAGATCTCTGTT